TCACCAGCCAAATTGCTGCCCTAAGTCGATTTATTTCCAAATCAGGAGACAAATGATCTGCATTCTTCAAAGTATTGAGGAAATTGAGAAAGTTCGAATGGATGGATGAATGTGAGCAAGCTTTCCCGAATTTAAAGAATACATTCATCTCTCCACCACTGTTACAATGTCTGAAGCTGAAGGAATAACTTTCATTTTACTTGGGATTTAGTTTAGAAATAATTAATTTTGTTCTCACTGAGTCAGGGAAGTGATTTCCCATTTATTATACCAATCGAGTCTTTAGAGAAGCCAAAATATGGTATCATCTAATGGAGAAACTAACATTTGCTCTTACTATTTTTGCTCGTATGCTTTGGTCATCTTCCAGACTCGTCTAATTAAGGTAATCACTGACCATCCTCTTAAGTCAAACTCACCTAGCGAGAACATTTGGGTCGATTATTAAAATGGTCCATGGAGCTCAATGAGTATGACCTTACTTAAACCCCTCAGACAATAATCAAAGCTCAAGCTATGGCAGATTTCTTGGTGGATTTCTTGGAATTGGGCAGATCAAGTGAAGAGTATAGCATAGAAATGCAAGCCTGGATCCTTCATGTGGATGGTGCTTCGAGCCAAACTAAAGTAGAAATTAGGTTGCTTTAAGCAGTATGATGTAAGAGCATATTTATAATTTATTCATCCTTGGTTTCACTATCATGAATAATCAAGTGGAATACATAACATTGATAGTTGGGCTTCGATTAACTCAAGAAGTAGATGCACTACACAATTTATCAATTCAAGCAATTGTAAAACTAAAATCACAAGAATGAATGTAAGAATCAAACACAGAAATAAACAAAATGCATTGAAACAAAAAAATAGAATATTTGCACATAAAATAAGATGTTACTCTAAATGTTTCAAATAAATAAATACAATTAATAAATTTTCTTAATCCTCCTCAATGCCCTCATCATCAAATTTCTCAAAATCATCCATAGTCGACTATTATCCTCTCTTCTCTACCCAATGTCGGAACACAAAAAATTCTGATTTCATTTTGACCTTCAACTCTGACCTTATTTGTGCAAGTCGGGCAACAACTCTAGTCTCAATATCTACGATGAATGTAACCTACCTACGATCCTCGTCCTCTTGGGTGGTAGAAGTTGATGCTTTAAATGCACTAGACAGATGAGTATCATATGCCTGCACCTAGGACCTCAATCTGTAGACTTATCCCTTCTTCTTGCCTCGAACAACGTCCCACCACAGCTTGTAGTCGAACAGATGACGACCTAGGATCGTAATATCGCCTGACTGCTAGGTTCGGTTGTCTTAGACCTTTTGGAAGGTCTACTAAAAAAGTTCTTAAGGAAATTTAGATAATAAATAAACTTCAATAATTATTTGAATTATATACTAATTAATCATATGAATTATTTGGGTAACCTGATATTTGCATTCCATCCAGGCTTGGTCCAACTGCCGCTTATAGGTGTGCGCGTAGAACTTGACAAAATTGAGCTCTCGTCCTAACTCAAAAAATTGTAAGTGTAATGAAATAGTTAGCATATATTAAATTTATAATAAAATTTAATAAAGATCCTAATGACTCGGGATAATGGAAAGTCATTGGCATCTTGACTGGAGACGTTACTTAAATTTTTAAGTTAGTCCACTTATTTAAACTCCTTGACAATGTAGGTTTATTCTGGGGTTACGGCTTTACTTCCATCTAAAATTTTTCTAAAACTATCCTTCCTCTTAGTCTATGATCAAATTCAAATCTAAAATCTCCAAAGCGAATTTCAAGTCCAACTTCAAATCCCGACTTCCAACCTAAACTTAAATTCTAATCTTAAAGCTTAATTTTGTATCTCAAATATTAAATTCCAATATCAAATCCTAACTTGCAATCTCTAAGTTTCAAATCCAACACTACAATTTCAAGGTCTCAAATCTTCAACCTTCCAAATTTAAACCCCAAACCCAATTTAACAAACTTTAACTAAACTTCACGAACTTCAGCAATTTTTAATGAACCTTAATTAAACTTAATCAACCTTAACAATTATAATCAGCATTAACCACTCTAATTAGCTTTAAGAAATTTTAAGAAAACTTACAATATATAACAACCTTAACAAAACATAAAATGCTTTACAAGTTCTAACAATATTAACCAACTTTGACAAAACTTAACAAATTTTATAATTCTAACCAACAATTACAAAACTTGGTCACTTTTAACAAACCTCACTGACCTTAACAACCTCAACAAAAACTAGGCAACTTTGACAAAACAAAACAAATTTTGACAATTCTAGCCAACTTTAACAAAACAAAACCAGTTTTAACAGCTCTTAACAATTTTTAACAACCCCAACCAATTTTAATGGACTTCAACTAATTTTAACAAACTTTAACAAACAAAATAAATAACCTTAAAACATATTAAACCATTTTAAGATTAAACTTTTATTAAACTTAAAGCAAACTGCAAATTTTCAAAATAAACCTTAAATAATCTTAAATAACCTTCAAATAAACTTCAAATAAATTAAAAAGAATGAAATAAACTAATAAACTTTAAAAACCTGCAGAACTTAAAATAAATCTTAATTAATATAATCAAATCAGCTCAAATAACCTTGCAAATCAGATCCAACAAACTCAAGTTCACATCTCAAGTGAATCAATCTAAATTAAATTCACAATTTTCAATCCTCAGGGTGTGCTTTCTTCCCATAATTAGTTAACCCTTCTTCTATGCCTTTCCATAACACGCTGTTAGTAAACTGCAAGTAACAACCCTTTTAATTCCAATCGGGTCTTTTCAAAACCTTGAGCCTATCAATATGAGTCCTAAACATCAATCTCATAGATACTGAAAAGACATACTCGACACAAGTCAAAATATTAATCGAGAGTATTCTTAGGAATCACAATTCTTAAAATATGATTAAGGGTTTGCTTTCGAAAAGAAACCAGTAAAGTAGGGGCGAGTGATTAAATCCATTTTAGAGTAATATTTCTATCTTTCGAGATAGTATATTTTTCTTTGAATTATACATTCGATAATTTAGATAGAAATCTTCCAAGATCTATGATAGATACAATAAAAGCCCCACTAGCTAGCTCATCTCTAATTTTATGATCTTCACGATCAAACTCTATTTTATCCATAGCCTTAGTCAAATCTTCCAAATCATTCCCACTTCTATGTGTAACATTATTGCATTTCTTCTTTCTCTTATACTTTACCTCCATGTTTCTTTTTAAAGTTTCTTAATTTCCATAATTAGGTTTAAATATTACTTATGACTACAACTAGACTTTATAAATTGTTACTCATCTATGGCTCCAAGTCTTCCAAAGATAAATTCTTATCTCTAAACTTATTATTTGAGGTAAATCACAGGGTATAACTAATTCTCTAATTTTTATATTGGTAGCCCAATTATTTTGATCTATATTTTGTTAACTATTCTAATTAAAATTGAGATGATTTCTCTAATTATGTTTGTAGACATTAGAATAAGGATTATTAGATCGATTTTATAATAAGGATTATTAGGTCGATTGCTAATCAGACTCATAGTATGACTCCACATTTAAAATACTAGTTATCCACTAGTCAACGAGAAGTCTCATTACTAATAGGTGCCCTTTGTATTTGTTTAAAGCCCAAATGAACTAATTTCTTTGGTATACCTATCACTTATGAAGTTATAATAGCTAAAATATATGCATCATATCCACTTATTACTTCTTAGGATTCACTCTCTCAGCAGATCACTAAAGATTAGTCGTTATCTCTCATATTAAATTATAGACCTCATCAAAAGATTTAGACAATAATGGCCCTCTGTTGCAATATCTATAATTGACCTGGAGAATCCACCAACCTGTTATAAGAAATTTAAATGATTAGTCAATAAGGTAGGGTCTAATGTGGGCACTTCCTAAGCAAATCCTTAAATCATTCATAGACTTCACAAATCAAATATCTAGCGAATTAGGTGATATCATTTATAAATTAGTAATTTTAGATGATGGAAAGTGCCTGGCTAGAAATATCTAAGCTAGATTAGTCCAAGAGATTATATGGGTAATAAGTTCAACCAAAATTCAGCCTCATCTCAAAAAGAAATTATAATAACATAGCTTAGCAATATCACCAAAGACACCATTAAACCTAAAAATTGTACATATTTCCAAAAAAAAACTAGCAAAATGTAAATTTGAGCCTCCTGCAGAAGAACCAAATTAACTCTTTTGTATCATTTGAGTGATTACTAGTCTAAGCACAAACGTATTTACCTATGTCGTAGGTCGTTTGATATTCTGAAAAATTTCTTCTACATTGGATTTACAATCTTTAAGTGGCCTAAGTTGATTGTGTTCATCATGAAGACTTGTCATATCCACATTTAGTTTCTTTGGTATTTTCTAAGCATTTTCATAGATCTTTCTTTCTATTTTAGGGTAAACAATAATTAAAAAAATGTGCTTCCCTTATTCATACAAAACTGAACTCATGTACAATTCACAAATTCTACATCAAACTGGCTCACAAGTCAGCTTTAACTCAACTGCATCCTTATAACACTCCCATGAATGATCTGATGGTGGCCAAGTTATCAAAACGCAATGGTAATTGTCCACAAGAAGATTCAGCGAAGGCAACTGACATGCTTATGGGACAGAACTTATGACCATACAAAAATCAAAATCTCTGTATTCAACGAAACAAATAAAAAATCATTTGGGATTAATTTTTATTTTTATTTTAGTTTATTTTATTTATATTTTTACTTATAATAAAATAAGTTCGATATATTATAATACATTTATTTATTCTTAAAAATACTCAAAACTTATATATTTTGAGTGTTTTTAAATATAAATTTTTTTTAAGTAAAAAATTTACTGAACAAAAAAAATGAATATATATATATAGAGAGAGAGAGAGAGAGAGAGAGAGAGATCCCAAATAAACCCTAAGATTTTAGCAAAAGATTTCACCTTCGGATATGGGATGTCATCCATTGGTATATACAGCTAGCAGATTCCCAAGTCCCAACAATACTAAAACTAAAAACGAATAAGAGAGATTGTTGATGAATTTGAACCCAAAGGCGTATAGTACATTACAGTATGCAGCTATCATTTGCATTGCTCTTGTGAATTTTCCAGGGCTTTAAGAAGGCGAAATAATCCAGCAGCTTCCCTTATACGCGAGAATTCGATGCAAAAAGCTTGGACTTCTATAAATAGATCTTGAACTGCAAAATAACAGTTTATATATATCAAAATGCCAAAAAAGAGAGATGTCAAAATAGATCCTGATTCTTTGCAATGGGTCATTTTAGTCTCAAGTCTATGTGTTAGTTTAGTTCCCAAACTCTTTTATATGGACTGAAATAGTTCAAATGGAGAACTAATTGAGTCATATTTAAAAAATCTTAAGTCTAATTTGACACTTCTGTAAACTCTGAGACTAAAAAGACCCCATTAAACATTTGGGGGCTATTCTGGTACTCTCTTAAAAAATATGAGGTACTCCATGCATTAGTATACGCACCATTGATGATCTTATTCCGGATGAGGCTCTGTAGAAAGACACACACCAATCTTACTAGTCTGTTCTGCATATACTTGTCCTGGTGAGGGAATACACTTTAATTAGTTACACTGCATGAGAAAACCGAACTTATTATAAAAGATATGCCGTTGAAGTGGTGCACTGTACCAACTTAATTGACAGAGAAATCCCGCAGAGAGTTATCTGTACAAATTCCTCTTAAGGAATTGAGATTTATGATCATAAATCACTATGTCCAAAAGAACACAGATCTCAATGCAAATGGGTTATAAAAACTTTACAGAAATTTATAGAAGGAACTTTTTGTATGATTTTTATCCTAGCTAAGTACCCTAGTCAAAGGAACAAAAAATAAAATAAAAATATATGATATTGCTCCCAAAGCAATAGCAGGGTGCCAAGTTCATATATTCTTTCACTAAATGGTAGCATGAGGGATATTTGACTTTTTACCACTCGTGAAAGGAATATAAGCCAAAAATCCCCGAACTTTGTTATTTAGAGAAATATGCCAAAATAAGCCCATTTCATAACCAAAAATAGCCTCGTAATATTAAAATGAGTTAAAACCCTGGACAAAAGATGCATGCAAACTTCCGAATAAATAATTACTCGAGTATCTTTCCCTTCTCAAAACATTATTTCTCTGACAACCTCAGAGTTCAATATAATTGGCCAGCGTTAAAGCTTAATAGCAATCCTGACTTTCCGACTATCATTTGTTCAAGGATCTAGTCAAGGTTGATGATGTTCTACTTTGGTTATGTACGTTTTAATATATTCATTGTTAGTTGTGTTGTACCCAGATTTGTCTGTAAATCACACCCAAGGAATAGAGCGTAAAGGAGAGGAGGGTGTGGAGAGAGAGAGGCCTTGGAATGGGATAGTTAATATTAGGTTTCAACCACCACTATTAAATTTAATGCCCCTCTATTTATAGAAGGCCTAGATAATTGTAAAATGACACTTATACCCCTTATTTTTTCAACTCCAAGCCTATATGTTTAAAATTTCTACAACTCTTTCGCCTTTATCCTGATTAGGGCAATACTTGAGATAAATTCCTAATAGCTCTCAACTTTTGGTTGGTCAATTCTTAATCGGTTGACCTCTGATCGGTTGGCCTTATGTTGGCCGACTTTTCATCGGTCAGCCTCTGGCTGGTCGGTATTCAATCGACTAGCCTCTAATCCATCAACCTTTGGTGATATTGCCTTCAGTTGGCTAGCCCTCTGATCTAGCAGCCTTCGGTCAGCTGACCTTCGATCAGCTAGCCCTTTGATCAATTAATCTCTGGTTGGTCGACTAGCATCTAATCAGTCGGCATGAAGTTAGTTGGCCTTCTATTGACTAGCCTCTGATCGGTCAGCCTCAGGTCATTTGTGTGTGATTGTCCTATTTCGGAGATCCTTGCATTCTTTTCATGAAGCTAATCTTTCAATACCTACCTTGCTATGAATTGTCGAATCTAAGAAAGATTTGGTCAAGCGTCTTTGGTTGTACATATTTTAGCTTCACGATTCTATAGTATCTTAGGAGGCTTTGCTGCGAGAAGAACAAGAAAATTAAATGCAATAATTGATTGTTTATCATTATTAAATGACCTTGATGATCAATACTCCTTTGAGTGATGAGCCACAATTTTTATAAATAGAGCCATGAGATGCCTTCCAAGTTTACCTACTTTGCGCTCTCCTTTCCCTTTGTCGGTTGTCCTGCTATGTAAAACCTTACGCTACATGCAAGCTTGTGATAGACAAGTTTTCGAAGCTCAAATTGATATCCTGAACAAAATTATGATCTGTGAGATGTTGGCCAAAGAGAAAGGCAAGGAGCGCCTCGAAGACGAAAGGACGAGGAAGGTCGCAGTCAAAAGGAGGATAGACCTCATTTCAAGTTAGGTGGGCTCTTCCGGGGTGACCCCAACGAATGTTCAGCTTGTTGCTGCAACTTCATTTGGTTATTTTTTTTTATTTTTTTATTTTTTTTTATTTTTTTGCCTTAGTTCGAAATTCAAACCATTTGAGTTTTTTATGTTGTGAATGGCTTGAATCGGCTGAACTTGAACAAGGATTTGATCATGAAGGTGGAGAGAGAGCATCAGAAGGAACTGGTCTGCTTGCCAGCAAGGACGAACGAGTCAACCGCTACGAAAAACCTCCACCCTTTCGAAAGGTTTGTGAGGATATCACTGAAAAGGATCTAATGAACCATAGAATGCTGGCTCGGCACACGGACAAGATTGAACATACTTTCGCATGTGTAGTTGGTATACATCAAGACGCGGAGACGAGCAATTTGTCGGTCCATGTTGCAAAATTAGAGCAGGTCACTGCAACGAAGCAAATGGGGGTGCTCTCCCCTAGGAGTTCATGAATTTGTGGGAGAAGCTCAGGTCTCCCAAGCTCAAGCCCAAGTCTGATACGCCAAGTGAGTTTAGAACTGGGGGCGAGTTTGTGCTTTACAGTTGCTTCAAACCATTACATGGGTTACTTCTTTCCCCAAAGCTGAGTTCGTATGAGGTTTATTGTCATAATTTTATTTTTTATCGAGAAAAAAAGTTGATTTTTGTTTTTCAATTTCCATGAAATTCTGCTTTTTCATTGACTTGTGTTTCGAGTCTCTAACGGTAATTCTCGATTTTTCCCTTCTTGCAATGGTTAGGGTCTTCCCTATCACTATAAAAGGTGCTTTGGCGGCAATAAATACACTTTGTATTGTTAATTTCCCCTCTAACATTTACTTTCCTCATATGATACATGGCTCTCACATGCTATTCCCCAATGGAGTTCGCGGTAACTGGTCTCTCCAACTCATCCAAGATGAACAAGAGTGAAGTCAATCAGCGCCATAAGACCCACATCCGAGGGCTTGAGAACAAAGTAAAAGATCGGAAACTCAAATTCTGTTTCACCTCCATGAAGGATGGTTTATCTGAAGTGCAGCTGGAGGCACAAAAGGTTGAGCTGAAGACACTCGACGTGCAACAATATCTCGAAGCCCCAGTTGCAACAAGGTGTTGGCTTTCGACACCTACGACAAGATGCATGAGGCCAATGGGAGGCTTCCAATGTAATGCCCTCCAAGCAGAGCGAAACGCGACTCGAGTTGTTGAGGCACAAAAGAAGCCTAAAGAGGATCTTCCAGATAAGGATTTGGTCAATTTGATTTCTCATTCTATTAGGGTCATTCATAAGGTAGCGACTGATGAGCTAATCCTCATTGAGAGGCTAACCTATCATAGGAAGATGATGTGTGTGCCTCTTCTCTTTGCAAATTCCCACGGCAGCGACGGACCAACTGGTGGCGTGGAGTCCAACCGAAGCAAACCGAGCCAGTAAAAGGAGGGATTGTCACGCGACCCCATGAAAGTGATGTTGCTTAGCATTTGTCCTTTTCTCGAGCAGGGATCCAACCCCCCTATAGATGGGGAGTATCTTTTCCAATCAAACATCCTTTGCGGGTGGGGATGAAACATTGGAGGAGCCAATGGAGAAGTCGGTCGACGAGACCATCTCATCAGAACTATTTCGCATGGAGGCAGAGTGTCAGCGTAAGGGGAAGGTCCATACAGAGGAAGGCACCCCCTCAAAAGGGTAAGCACAAGGGCGTTGCTTCTTCCAAGGATCTGAGTTGAAGTGAATTTCTCTACAAAAGCGTGGGCGAAAATGAGGGGGAGTAAGGGTGACTGGTGTGCTTTCATTGATTTCTCAAAAAAATGAAACTTTGGTAAGTCGATTGCTGCTCGATATGTTTATTCTCTGGATGTGGTGATCAGTTCCGCGAGCATGGCGAACATTTTTACGCGAATGAATCTAAATGAGTTATCATGAGAGACAACCGCTTCCATGCACTCAGCGGGTAGACCACCCACACCTTGGCAATTTCCTGTCGTCATGCAAGACAAGATTGAAAAGAGGGCATAGGAGCTCATGGTGGAGTTGAACAGGAGCAACACCTAGTAAATGACGCTCCACCGGGATCTGGATGGCCTTGATGAAGATGATTGAGGAGTTTGCAGACAAGCTTTCGTCCAGTGCCACCCAGAGGGCCACCCTCCAGAAGAAGTTTTGAGCCGGAATACAATTTTGCCTCGAACATTTGGTGAAGAGCAACTTGATTCCCTCTAATTGGTCAAGTATGAAGAAGTTCTTGGAACTAGCGGTCGACTCCAAATCGGATGAAGGTGGAGGCAACCAAGGCAATCGGAGCGACTGAATTGGTGGGAGATCGTTGAATGTGTGACCCGTGCCCCTACCCCCCCCCCCT